ATGTCCTTTTCCCATTCCCACTTCCCCTACACCTTTAGCCCTTTTCTTCCTATTTCACACTGTCAATTATACATTTGAATCTTATTTACACTTTTAGTTTTTCACACCAGAGAAACGATTTGGTAATTACACGTGTGACTTATTTATTTCACTTAAGAGTATGACCTCAATATTCATTTTCCTATGAATGACTCTAATTTCTCATTCTTTATGGCTCAGCAGTATTCCATTTTATAGAAAAACCACATCTTCTTTATCCAGTCTCCAACTGATGGGCAATTGGGCTGTTTCCAAGTCTTAGCTATTACAAATTGTGCCACTATAAACATGGGTGAGCATATCTCACTATGGTATGATTCTTTTAATTCTTTTGGAAAGATACCCAGCAGAAGGATAGCTGGGTCAAATGGAACCTCTAGTCCCAGATATTTGAGGTATCTCCATATTGATTTCCATAGTGGTTGCACCAGTCTGTACTCCCCCAACAATGGAGAAGGGTTCCTTTCTCCCCATAACCCCGCCAACATTTGTTATTGATTGATTTCATGATAGCAGCCATTCTTTACACGATGAGGTAGAATCTCAATGTTGTTTTCATCTACATCTCTCGAACAACCAGTGATGTGGAACATTTTTTCATATATTGATTTGCTGCTTTTACTTCTTTGTCTGAGAAATGTCTGTTCATTTCAGATGCCCATTTTCGAATCGGGTCTTTATATTTGGGGAGGCTGATTGTTTTGAGTTCATATATTCTAGATAATAGTCAATTGTCTGAGAAGCAGCTGGTAAAATTTTTTTCCTACATTGTAGGTTGTCTCTTAGCTCTGTTGGTGGTTCCTTTTGCAGTGCAGAAGTTTTTTAATAAAATGAGATCCCAGTTATTGATTCTTTGTGCTAATTCCCATGCTACTGAGGATTTGTTCATAAAGTCTTTTCCTATGTCAATGTCTTTAAGGGTTCTGCCTAATTTATATTCCAGCAAATATAGTGTTTCTTTTTTAATATTTAGATCTTTAATCCACTTGGATTTTAGTTTAGTGCATGGTGAAAGATAAGGGTCTTGCTGGGGATTTAGCTCAGTGTTTCCTCTGCCTGCCTCACAAGTGCAAGGACCTGAGTTCAATCCCCACTACCAAAATAAAAAAAAAATAGAAAGATAAGGGACTAGTTTTAATCTTTGGCAGGTTGAAATCCAGTTTTTCCAACACCATTTATTAAAGAGGCTATCTTTCCTCGAGTGAGGTTGGTTGGCTCCTTTGTCAAAGATGAGGTAGCTGAGTACATCTGGGGTTGTTTCTGTATCTTCCAATCTATTCCACTGATCCTCAGGTGTGTTTCTTTGCCAGTATCATGCTATTTTTATCACAGTGGCTTTGTAGTATAATTTCAAATTGGGAATTGTTATACCCCCTGCCATGTCTACAGAGAAAAGTCTTAAATGTTGATGAAAAATCCAACTTATCATTTTTTCTTTTATGGATTGAGATACCAAATCTAAGAACTGTTACCTAATCCTATGTCACAAGTATTCTTTTATGCTTTCTTTTAAAGGCATTAAAAGTTTTACATTATGTAAACAAATGATATATTCTGGTTAATTTTTATATAATCTGTGATGCAGAGGTAAACATCCACTGTTTTTACATATGCATATCCAATTATTGTAGTATTATTTGTTGAAAAGTCTATCTTTTTTCCACAGAATAACTTTTATAACTTTGTCAAAAATCAACTGATCATATTTATGTGGGTCTATTTTTGGACTCTGTTCTGTTCTGTTTATCTCTATACATCTATCCTTTCCCCAATACCCGACCTTCTTGATTACAGTAGCTTTATAATAAGTCTTGAAATCAAGTACTGTGAGTCCTCCAATCTTGTCCTTTTTCAAAATTGTTTTACCTCTTGTAGTTTTATGTTTTTTCACATAAATTTTAGAATCACTTTGCGAATATTTGCAAAAAATTCTGCTGGGATGTTAATTGCTTTGTATTTACCAATTCCTTTGTCATTCGCTGCAGGCTATTTCAAAGCAAATCTTTCCATCACTATTTTCATTTTGTTCCTCTAGATTTGGCCCTTTCCTACATAAAAAAGTTTATGAATATTCATGAAAATGAAAAAGGATTACTGGTCAATATTTCTGCTCCAAATATCAAGCTCACTGCATTCTAGAGTTTCATAACTGTCTTTTAAACAATGCAGCATACTTATGTGTACTGAACACAGCATCTGCTGCTCGATTTGTGGAGAAGTAACATGTTAGCAACACAAAGTCTTCTGACTCATAAACATAGTATCTCTCCCTACAGTTAGGTCTCTGTTAAATCTTAAAGCAATTATTTGTATTTTTCAATATTGTTGCATATATTTTGTTAGATATATACCTAAATATTTCAAATTTTTGGTGCTTTTAAAACATTTCAAATGTTCGATTATTCATTGGAAATGTGTAAAAATACAAATGATTTTAATGACTTTATATTTTGCAACCCTGCTAAATTTGTTTGAGTTTTATACTTTGTATGTTTTTGCTAATCACATCTGCCAATAGAGAACTTTTACTTCTTCCTTCCATATTTATGCTCTTTCTTTCTTGCCTTACTGCCATGGTTGATTGCCATATTGCTTTTTACGATTTATTGGCACTTCCAGATATTTTCACTATCTTCAAAAAGTATATATATTTGTTTTATAGCATATATGTGATCATTCTGCTATTTATGCCTTCAGCATTTGTTTCTGTTTTATGTTAGTTCACTAGGGTTGCTCCACCAGGACCACAAACTGAGTGGCTTCAAAAGACAGGAATTGTCTCATAGCTCCAGAATCTAGAAGGCAAAAATCAAGGTGGCGTTGGCATAGCTGGCTCCTTCTGTGGCCATGACACAGAAATTCATCCCATTTTGTCTCCCTGACTTCTGGCAGTTTGCCAGCAATCTCTGGCATCCCCGAGCTGGTGGACACACCATCGCCATCTTCACCTCTGGGTTCACAGGCTGTTCCCCTTTCACCTGCCTGTGTTGACATTTCCCCTCTATATAAGGACACCATTCATAGTGGATTAGGAGCCCACCCTATATCTGTATGGTGTCTTCTTAATTAATTACCAAATTAGAGCACATTCTGAGATGTTCAACACAGGACTCCTAGGGGGACAAAATTCAACTCATAGCATGTTGGTTCCTGTCCATCGTGCCCTGCTGCCTTATACACTTGGTTATCAATGAGTATATGCTTGTCATAGAGCTGAAAATGTTATGTGCCACAGTAATAGACAGATGGAAGGCACCTTCTTCTAGAGAAGTTTGTTGCTGGGGTTACACCCATTGTCGGTGCTCTATTAACCAAGGGTTGAAGTTCTCCAATTACCCAAGTGATACACAAGTAAGCTACAAATCCACACAGGGTTGGCTGATCCATGATTCACACCCACTGAGATTCTCTAGCTCCTTGAGCGCCTGGGTCATTGCTTTTTATTTGGCAGTCCACCTGCTACAGGCCCTGTACTTTGTTTTCTGAACCTCCTTCTTCCCTTCCACCCCATGAAGACACGAAACTAAAATTTTAAATTTCCAAGACTGATAAAAGATCTTGTGCTTGCTCATCTTTTGGGGTACCATTTTTCTCTCATTTCTGGCCTCATTATTTCTTATTTTTAAAAATAGATGTAAATAATCTCTCATCTAGATAATTCATAAGTTTGAGTGGGAGAGGGTTGGTTCAAAAACATTAGGTTCACTGTCATTTTGGGGAGGGAGTGACATTTAGTTTCTTTCCTTCTGTTCCAAAACTGATTTTTCAAGGTGAGCTCTATAAGTTTCCTACATTAGCATTTATTGAGATTGTTTCAGAATAATGAAATACTCATTCAAACTATTTTCTTATTTAAAGTGAGTAATAATTCAGATCCTACACTAAGCATTTGAAACTTCATTTTTTCTCAGTATTAATCTTAAAATACCTTACTTTATATGCTTTTTGATACCTATTGAAATGTAACAGAGAAAAAGTGATTCTAATACAAAGTAACAAAAATATATTTATAATATCTAAAGTAAAGTCTTGGTTGAAATTAGTATCTGAAGCTAGTGACTATGGGCTAGAATTGAGTATCACTGGAAGTTATTCTTCCTGAACTAAACCACAGAAAATCACTATTGGCATTTTGACTTTAAACAAGAGCTAGAGGCTTTCGTTGACAAAATAAAGGGAGGACAAATGGCTGATCTAGAGAAAAGGTATACTGCGGGGAGATCGATGTTCCTGAATGTTAATTTCACAACTCTATGAAGGAATAAATGGGATATATGGAAAACAGTAAATCAACCACATAACTGGATAACCGCTGGACCATGTTCTGAGATGATGATTCACGCGCCTGGAATCTAGCTCAGGAATGGCTATAATAAAGGCCTCCTGGAGGAGAATAAAAGTCATCAGAGAGAGGGGTCAAAGGTTCTCTCTGTTTTGTTTGTTTGGGTTTTTTTTTTGTTTTGTTTTGTTTTGTTTTGTTTTTTTGTTTTGTTTTTTTTGGTACTAGGGATTGAACTTGGGTCCTTGTGCTTACAAGGCAGGCAGCAGTACCACTGGGCTAAATCCCCTATCCTCAAAGGTTCTCTCTTGATGTCATTATTTTTCTGGCTGATCAGGTTTTCCTGTGATTTTTTTTTGGACTGATGCCCTTGGATAACCTTGGATGATAAATGAATCCACTTAGCCCTTTTTTCCTTTGCTTTTAAGTCAAACATGGAGATGTATTTACCTCCCAGATGAGTAAAATGGTATTAAAATCCCTTATATTTGCAGAGAACAAAAGGAACACTGCCCTGAGTGGTGTGAATAATGTGTATGTGCACCAGTCACAGCGTGAGGGCCTGGTGTGTCGAGTCATGCTAGGGACTGGACACTCCCTCTCCCAAAGCCATCTCCCTCAGCCTCTCCCCTGCCCCACAACCAAAGGCTGCTCCCAACGCAGGGGAAACCAGGGCTCTCACCTGTGTTGTCCTCCCCAAGGCTTTCTGCAGCTTCCCGAAGCTTAATGTCCATCACCCGCGTGGAAATCATGTCCAGTTCGCTAAAATCAGAAGGAAATTCATGTTAAGGAGCCATGCTGAACAGAAGCTATTGATCAATATAATGGTGGCAGTGACTGCTCTGCCCACATACATCCCTGCAGAGACAGAGTCGGGCAGAGAGCAGGGCAGGCAGGCACCAAACACAGCCACAGCTGTAAGATCAGGAATCGCACGACTGAGGCAATGAGATGGAAAATAGAAGCAAACCAAATGTTTCACTCGTTTATACAATGCAGATTAAGTTTTTCCTTCCAAAGAGGAGTTCTCAAATGATGAGAAATTATGTTTTTTTCTTATTTATTGTAGTTTAGAAAACAGAAAATAAAAATCACCCATAATCTCACCAACTAACGATAACCACATTAATGTTTTAATCTCCTTCCAATATTTTTCCTATGCAACTCTTTTGTGTACATGCACACACATCAGGAAGTTTAATTTCCTGGTGTCTTCATTTATACCATCTTATTAAAATTCTTGGTAGGTGTTATTTTAATGGCTACATATTACTTCAATATGTTATATTTTACATTGAGTTTTTTTTACATTGAGTTTCTTGAAAAAGATATAAAAGAACTCAGAACATACAAGGAACCAACATATGGCTCCTCTTACCTCAGCTTTACTTTACCACACCCCTCTCACTAGATTGTTTCCAAGGAAAAGATCCCACACACTATTATCAGTTCACCCAGATGGATTTGGCTTCTTTCTAAATAAAAATTTCTGACTCTTCATGGAAATCAAATACATGCTTGCTAGTCTGTATTTCTGCCACACAAAATTGAGCATTTCGTGTCCATCTCCCATAGCCGACCTCAAACAAAGAACTACCTATAAAGTGTGATCAAAATATAGGGTGAATGTTTACATTTTTAAAATGATTACAGCAAAAGCCACATGGCCATTAATAACCCTCAAAATCTTCCCCCTCTCTTCAAACACACTTGTCCCATCAACCTTGCCACTTTCTGAAACAGTTCTAGAAGCCCCCTTTCATGAGTGTCTTCCTGAAATGTGACCAAAAAATATATAGTGAAAGATGCTGCTGAGTGCCATCCAACAGGGATGCTGGAACCTTACAGGTCTCCTCACCCACTTTATTCACTACATCTGGCACGGGGCCTCATCTCACTCTTCCTCAAACTCAAAGACTGTGAAAGGTAATTATTTTCAATAAACTCAGGGCATCGTACAACTAGAGATGCTCGGGAAGGAAGACTTCCAGAACTGCTTTAGAAAGTGGCAAAAAGGATGGGCTAAGTATGTTTGAAGCAAGGGAGAGTATTCTGAGGGATTCGTGGCACTGTATCTTGTACTATAATAAGTTTTAAAGAAAATAAAAAAAAATCTAAACATTCACTGTATATTTTGATCACATCTTGTACGCAATACACAGTTCATCCAGAAAGCTATTTCTTACTAGAAGAGACTGTGAACACTCACACTTAAAAAGGGAGGCTCAAATATTTAGTTAAACAATTTACATTGATGGCTTGTATATAGCATATAAAAGAAATTAAATACAAAGAAGAGGAAGGGAAACAGAGACTCAGGCCAGTGCCAGAGTTGGCACTAATATTTAGGTCTCCATTAATATCAATGTCAGAGTATCTGTCCTCTTTCCTAGCCAATTCCTTAAAAGCTGAAATAAAGCATCACCAAGTTGTCATTATCATTTGACTTCTGGTCTTGTGTCAGCTCTGCCAAAAACTCTTTGTTGGAACCTCACCAAATCTGACTCACAATCATGCTATCATTATATAGAAATGAGGGCAGAACAGAAATAGCACTTTTCAAAGTCTTGTCCACTGTTTCAGGATTGAAAGAACAGCCTTGTTTTCACTATCTGTATTCACTGTCAAAGTAACAGGCAAGGAAGTCAGACAGCTGGGGGGGGGCACATAATTACACGCTGGGGATGTGATCCAAAACCTGGCTGCTCTAAATGCCCACCCCAAGATGTCAGCGTTAGTCAGCAGCCTCCTGATTCCTTACTATCCTGCTGCTCATGGCATTACTGGAGGAGGGGGTACTACCAGGCATTCGGCACCAGAGGCAGTGGGAAAAGGAAACATGAGAAATAAGAAAGCAAGAAGGAGAGGGCTGGTTAACTCACCAGCTAAAGTTGCCACCAAAATGGGAAGAAGTCCAAGAGCTTTCCATTGCTTGGATGTGGAATTAACGGCAACTGCAAAGTACTTATCGAGTGTAGAGTATATCATCTCAGTTATTCTAGTTATCCCCCAAGAACCCTGAGTGTTCTCATTTTGGAAATGAGGCCATATGCGGTATGATCGAAAAATACAGTGAATATTAAAAATTTTTAATTATTACAATAAAATATACACTGCAATGAATCCTCTTCAAAATACTCCACCTCGAACGCTTATCCCACCATTCTTGCTACTTTCTGAAGCCAGTCTGGAAGTGCTCTTCACGAGTATCTTTAGTTGTGCTACTGTGGCTGCCTGCATGTCCTGAATCGATTCACAGCATTTACTTTCATGCTCATTTTGAGTTTGGGGAAGAGCCGGAAGTCAAACAGTGCCAAATGTGGCGAATGAGGTGGATGAGGAAGCACCACGGTGTTCTGACGAGCCCGCCTTTTCACTGGACGGCAATCAGCAGCAGCTTTTACCATATTTTTATCACATATCATAAAGTTACTCAAAAAAGAAGACTCCCAGAACTGCTTCGGAAGCTGGCAAGAATGATGAGATCAGTGTGTTTGAAGCAAGAAGGAGTGGCTTTGTTCTGTTTTGCTTTTTTGTACGGGGGATCGAACTCAGGACCTTGTGCTTGTGAGGCAGGCAGCAGAAACACTGAGCTAAATCCCCAGCCCAAAAGGAAGTGTTTTGAGGGGCATTCACAGCAATGTGTTTTTTACTGTAATACATTTTTAAAATGTTACAGTCACCATATACTTTGATTAGGTGGTTTATTTAGTTGCTCCAGGTAGCAAAGCAGACCTATGCCTGGACACTCATGCTGCGCATACAGCCAGTGTTCTGAGCTGTTCGGATACGGTGATGAGTGAGAGAACCGTGGTCCTGCCTCTTACAGGTACTGACAGTGAGGGCAGAGCCCTGAGCTGTGCCTGGAGGGGCTCAAGGACAGAATCTCCCACTGAAATGCCTCTGCCTGCCCAGAAACGCTGCCCAAGGTCAGGCCACGGTTCAGGAGCCACATGAGCCTCCAGAAGATGATCTATTTGGTCTGATAGGCATCTGGGTCTGAGGGAAGGGGCTCAAGGATTGCTGTGATGCATCAAGTAATTGGGAAAGGACAACTCTAGAAAAACCATGATGTGACCTACAAGACATCCAGTCACCTCTGGGAAATGACAAGATGGCTGTTGGAAAGCACTGCAAGTGTACAGGGTTGTATGAGAAAGTGCATGGGCCCCATGGGAAGGTGTGAGGAGGGCATCCTGTTGCTATCCCATCTACCTGGAGTGGTACAGAGGTTCAAATTTGCTTTTCCTGGGGTTAAACGATGTGAATGTGATGAAGAGACAACATACACAATGGGGAAGTTTTTTTGCCAGCTGTTCTCCATACACAGGACTAACATCTAGAATAAATAAAGAACTCAAAAACAACTAGACCCCCAAAATAAAAGATCCAATAGAAATGGGCATCTAAAAAGAACAGACACTTCTCAGATGAAGAAATACAATTGGCAAAAGAAAAAAATACATGAAAAAATGTTCAACATTGCTGGCCAGTTGAGAAAAGCAAATTAGAACAACACTAAGATTCCATCTCAATCCAGAAAGAATGGCCATCATCAAGAAATTAATCAATAACAAATGCTGGCAAGGCTGTGGGGAGAGAGCGACCCATCTTCATTGTTGGTAGGAGTATAAACTGATGTAATCATCATGAAAATTCTTCAAAAACCTAAAAATAGAAATTCCACTTAGGTATCTTCCCCAAAGAGTTAAAAACATATACACATTTATAGCAGCCCAATTTTTAATAGTTAAATTTGGTAATAGTATATATGCCCATCAACAAATGAATGCATAAAGAAAATGTGGTATTTACATACAATGGAGTACTATCCTGCCATCAAGAAGGATAAACTTGAAGAATTTGTAGGAAAATGGATGCACCTTGAGACCGTAATATTAAGTGAAGTAAATTGGACACACAAGCTTGAATGTCATGTGGTTTCTCTTATATGAAAAGTTAAGATATAACATGCAAAATTAAAAGACAGATAATAGGGAAAAAGAGAAAAAAGTTATTGTATTCTAAGTATGTTTCTGCTATCAATTTCTACCTTCACTCTAATAGGGTGGAAGAGCTCACTTTGCAGGATTTCCACTTCTTCAGATATGTTAAGGTCTTCTGTTGCTATGAGTATGGTCGGTCTACTTTAAATTAAAAGCATACATTCCCAGGATAGCAATATCTATGAAGATAGAGAGTAGCTCAGTGGTTGCAAAAATGATCTGAATTTGATTATGATCATGGCGGCACAACTCTGTCAGAATGCTAAAATCTACTAAGTCCTACACTTTCAGTTTGTAAATTGTGTGGTATGCAAAATTTAGTTCAATAAAGATGTTATTTAAATATTTAAAACATAAATGAATAAAGCATCACAGAGCAGAGAGCTGAGGAATGGCTAGAGGGTTCTTCTGCTCTCCCCCATGGAGGCCGAGCACCATCAGATCCCACAGTGGCCAGCAGACGAGGGAGGCAAAAGTTAGGGACAAATGAAGGGACAGCAGATGGAGCTCACCTTACGTGGGAGGCTTCAGCACCTGCTCATGTTTCACATTCTGAGCATCCTTGTACTGATAAACTCATACTACAGTGCAGTGGAAAGAGCAAAGACATGGACCGAATGTTATGTGTGCCTAAGAGTTGAATCTGCACCCCAACATCTGCCTGCTCTGGCTGCAGACCCTCACATACCAAGGGTGATAGCACTTTAATTCAAGGAGACCAGAACACAGAATGCAGCAAGTGCTGGCTGAGGATGG